TCTTATACATTTCGAACTGTTTAAGAGCTCTTTGAACATTTCAACGTTGTTTGAGGCCTGGAATATTACCTGGATCCTCAAATCGAACCAGGTGGATTCTCAGGGAGCCCCCCAACCTTTAACCTAGGGGTCCGATCCACAAGGCACTAGAGCAACGTTAGGAGATGCAGTCCCATGGTAGTCGATGACCGACAGTAGGTTAATACGCTATTCTTTCCCTCAGAATCATGGTAGTTCATGTGTACTATTGGTTTGGAATCAGGGTTTTGAAGCAGCCCTGGATGGATCCTCGAAATCCACCAACCCTGTTAAGGTGCTTGATATCCGTTTTTATGTTGACAATTTCGTAAACAACACCTCCACCTCGAGAAGGTATTGAGTATAATTTCCCTGATAGTGGCTGTATATGTGTTGCCATACGAGAGCATTTTGAGAGGGAGAGAGAGAGGTGATCCCTTCATCTTCGGCCGTTCCAGGACATTTGAGTGATCTCACGTAAGAATAACATTTAAAAAAAATCGAAATACACATACTATTAGATATGCTGTAAAATTTACTTCTAAATCGATTCGATAGTTTTGTTCCTTCTAATATCAATCTTATAGTTCTTTTACAGCCAACTATTTTCAGGTCATACAATCACTCTTACTAATATTATCCTCTTAACAAAACTAGAGATACATCATTCTTAAACCTTACTGAGTTGAGTTTTGTTTCCTCTTGTTTAATAAGCAGTTACCACCTTAAAAACAGGAAATAATAAAAACAAATGGGATTTTATTCTCTCCAATTATACAATTCACTCTAATGACTCATTCCTGTTTTCTTTTTCAGCTGGTTTTATCGCCTTAATCTCATTGATATGATTCTTCTTTACGCTACCCTTTAGACAACAAAGTGGTTATGAGATTGCCTGGGGGAAACTATTATTATTATTATTATTATTATTATTATTATTATTATTATTATTATTAACATTAGTCTCTCTTCATTGTTTACTGGCAGATACATCAGAGTTGTGCTTATGTTTGTGTGTAGTTTTGTATTACTATTCCTCTCTCTCTCTCTCTCTCTATCACTTCCTCATACATAACCACCTAACCGCCCACCCACCCACCTGCTGTTCTTCTATAATGTAAATCACTGATTTTTATTTGACATTTCATATTCATATTAATTAGTACTTATTCTATTATTGAAGCAGAATAAGACTAGACCTATTTCACTTTATGCTCATATATAATATATTATACATATGAACATGTTCATCAAGAGGCCTTCAGCATGACCTGAAAAGGACGCCTTTTTTTGAAAAAGAAAATAATATGAAGCGGTGGGGAGGATGTATCACATTATTCCTATTTATTTAATTTTCTATATTCTGATGGAATTATATCTTGTTAGGCATTAAATCTATATTTAAATATAATTTCTGTAACTGACCTGATACACTATCTTCTATATTGAAGTATAGAGTTAGGAAAAACTAACCAACTTACGGGTCATTGCTTTATTGTATGAAAGACTTCAACTGTATAGGTCTATGTCTTGTAATATTCTGTTGATTTTAGTATGCTTAGTCTATGGATTATTATTATTATTATTATTATCTATTTAGGAGATTACATGTTATTTAAGTGATAATTTGTATATGACTTATTTCCTTACCTTCTCTTATTGAGTTCAGCTCATTATAATGATGATATGATCCGTTAAAGGTCTGAGTGAAAATCGAATATCACAGAATTTTTTGCAATCATAATTAACAACGATAATAACAAAGTTCTGATTGGTTGGGATTTGATGAAATGTTAGCAAGTAATATACAGGTTCAGTTGACCTATGTCAACTTATGTCACTTGAGGTCTATCTCATTCAAAGAGTGAGTAAACTGTACACTAGTTCATCTTGTATTACTCTGCGACTGTGAAACGGAGTCTATGAAAACAGAAGATATATGGATATCGCGGCTGTTTCATTATGGATATCTTCAAAGTAGTGCTCGTGTTTCAGGAAACAACCGGATGATCAATACTGCAGTGTAACATATAAATATATTAAAATGGTCTATGTAGTTATGAATCTTCATTAACTGAGATGGTTGGGACATGTATTATGTATACCCAACCATCCCCTACTTTGACCGGAAGTGCTTTCTGTTGTAGTTGCGGGTTGGCAGAAGACTAAGAAGGGATGAAAACGAAACGAGGCATTTGACTATGAAGTAGTTATTAACCGTTCTTCCGTGTCATGTTAGTTGATTTAGTCTTTATAGTTGAAAGTTAGGTAATAACTGTTATCAACTGTTGCAGATGTTTGGTGACATGATTCAGAACCGGTTTTAGTGGAACATATCTATTTACACTTTATCTTTCTCAAGCTCTTCAACTTCAGTTTTCCTTCACGCATTCCCCTTCTAACCATCTTCTCAATAATTAGTCTTTTTCATTATTATTACTACTACTATATTGTTTCTATCTGTTTTGCTATTCATCTTATCATTCTTATCTCATTGTGTAAATGTGTTATGACAACTTGAACTAACGGAAATTTTATGACTGGCTCTACTCTGATTTCGATCCATCTCTTTACTACAGTACAATATACTCTAGATCACGCAATTATAAAGTATTCGCTGTTCTACTCACTAGCCTGGTTAACTGTGTTAATTAACCATGTTTAAATTCTATGTGAATCACTGTCGATAAGATGATGCTTTTAAATACTTCTTAAACATGCTACTCAGTCGCATTCGGTAAATCATCTCCAATACATTCGATTATTTGATTATTCATAGTGTTTTTCTTGTTAATCCACTGAATATGAATTTAAATGTAGCCATTCTGTTTATTGTACTAGTGAGACATGTATTATGTATCGCCATTCACCAAGACATGACATCAGTTCATGAAGACAATGACTATTGAACTAAACAATGTAAGTAGGTAGATATTACCTGGTTGGAATTAACGTAGTTATCGTAACCAATAGGTAGTGACTTTAAGTGACAAGATTTAAAATCATTTGTGATATTGTAGACCCATTCACGCTTTAGATTGTCTTAGATCCTATGTTTCTGAATTTCCTATTTTTATTTGCAATAGTATCTTAGATAGCTAATCTTTTGTGTTCCCATTAATACTGTTACTACTTGTACTATTCTAAGATCTGCCATGACAGTTTCATCTCTCTATGTTATCAGGGTATGGAAACTTGAACCAGTATGTACATATGCTATATTCAATGTCATATTTGAGTGACGAACTGACTGATTATACTAGTTCTTACACCATCCATTCCCCTACTATAGATATCCTCTATTGACAGAAATATATGCACTTTCATTCATTTCACTGTAAAACGCTTAGATAACCTTCTACTAGATAAAAAAGACTATCATTTCAAATTGATCCACTAAGTTATGAATAATCTATGTTGGGTATCATTTAAACAACTTACGCCTATCACCCTTCATGAATGACCATAGGTCTTATACCAGTACTCTCTATCCAACTGTATCCAGTTGCTATTCATCTTTTTCATGTCTACTTCCAATCCCCAACATAGCTATATCCTTTAATTTTCCTCTTTTTTTTCATGTCCCTTCAAGATTCCAGATATATACTTACCTTATGATATAGTTTAATGATTTCCATAATGTATGTCCTTCAGAATGAACTTCTATATATATATATTTGGTGATATTTATATATTTACCTTTATTTTTATAAATGTAATACATTCACTGATAGAATAAATTATTCATTTGTACTTATCCATTCAAATTGTAGTCACATATTTATTATTTTACATTGACTGATTAATTTAATTCAATTTTATATTATCTCATATGATAATGACCTTTATTTCAGTAGTAAGTTTAAGTAGTAAAAAAGGAAAAGAAGAAAAAGAAGTAATGAAATTGAATAGTTCATGAATTGAATATGTAAAAGTTGACATTGTTATATTCCTGACATTCATGTGTGAACTTTTTTCCATTTAGGTTAATCAAGTGTCTTCTCTCTGTGTATGTGAGTGTGTGTGTGTGTGTGTGTGTGTGGAACAAGAGTACTTTTGAATTTAATTTACATGACCGTTTTTATTCTGTGAATTTCATCAGATCATAAAGCATTTCTTATGAGAATAATATTAACTAATAACTGAAAAGTTATACTGTTGGCTATACTTGGATGTTTACTTCAGAATACCAAAATTTGTAATGCTTCTGTCTGCCTACAACAGAAGAAGGAAGAGGTTAGAATAAGTTTATCATAAAAGTGGCACAACTCGCTTTACCTCACAAATTTCTGTCTTCAACGAAAATCTTCTTGTAAAGTAGTGATTCATTAAGCTGTGCAACCACGCCCTCAAGTCGCCGAAACCTCTACTAATCTAATTTCCTTATTAAGAGTTTTAAGAAGGTGTATCTTTCTGTGTTGCAATAATCGTTCACATACCTACGTGACAGTAGGTGGTTGAAAATATTCCGTAGTACATATGGTTTGAATATTTTTTTTCTGGTTGGCACTTATTTTTGAGCTAACCCCATGCCCAACCCTCCTGCTTCGTCCGGGCTTGGGAATTACAGTAGCCACAGAGAGGTTCCAGGTGAAGTTGTAGTAAATATACAAGTTTATTTTTCTTTAGCCATAATATGCATTATTCTCACATGGAGAGATTCGTTTACACTTAACACCTAAGCAACTAAATGTTACTTACTTACGCCTGTTCCCACCATTTCTACCGTATAGATGCTCCGTCTTATAACTTAAACTAGTCCCCATTCATCCCAAGTCTTATCCTAATGAGGACTGATGTAAATAGTTTTCCTATTCATTCATAAGGGATATTTAAGTATTGTTTAGTCAAGTCAAACCTTTACTATGAAGATATGTTTGTTTTATGTTACTATACATACTACTGACTGACTAATTTATAGAAGTTATCTTCTTTCTTAAGGTTCACTTTCCTGTTGTTGTTTTTTTCTTGACAAAATTTAGAATGGTTCAATCTTGAAACAATCTCATCAATCTAAATCATCTGCTGGTAAAAACAATACACGATTAATTAATCTTCCATTGGAATTGTCAAACATTCATTCTGATCAACATGGTGAAGTATATGTTTGTGAAGCAGGTATAAATTCTGCAGTTAATCAAAAGCCAGTTATTCAAGAATTGATGCTTGAAGTCAACTGTAAGTTGTTTGAACATAATATTCATTGATAAAATGATCCTTTCTGAGAGATCACTTTTTCGATACTATCTTGATTATTTTATGAGGTTAGATACTATGGTATAGTACAGTGATCCCATCCATGACATTTGTACACAGAGATGTGTTGTGTATATGCTTATAATTGTACTTGTACTTACCCAAATTTATCCGTTTTAATTTAAATGAGGAAGACTATTGTTATTTATGGTTAAATTTGAACATCAACCATGGGTTACAGTTACATCTCGTTATAGATTAGTCCAAAATACAACTGTTGGTCATAACTCATCTTTTTCTTTCAACGTCATCATTAATGGTTATGGTATGAGTTTACGGCCTTGTTGATATTCAACTTTGAATTCTGATCGGTCGTTAATGACACTTGTATATCCTATGAGGATCACGAGTTGTTTAGATTAGATAATTTATAGCAATCACTAGAAACTAAGATGTATGTTTCGTTGTATCTTGGTTTAATCAGCTGGATGTTAACATCGGGAATCAAACCTAGTATTTTTTTTGGTTCAGAAGACTAGTGTGTTATCTATTAAGCTACTAAGCTCAACTGGCCAGGACGAATAAAATCAAACTCTTACTACTAATAATGATGTAGACATTATCACTCTTAAATAGATCAGTAGATATCAAGACTCAGTAGATTAGTTTTATGTCACTCACCTTGTTGTCATATTAATAAATGAATATTATATAAATTTAACTTTTCCATTCCCATTTGCATGTTTCTGAATTGGTAAGTATTTTACAAGATGAAAGTGTTACTTGCATATAAGTAGTTTCTAACTATATGTTAGTAAATTTGTCACTAAACATGTTTAAACTGGTTATCAATGTGGTGAGTACATATATCCACAATATTGCTCGACCATCTTCTGTTGTCTTCGACAGATATCTTCCTCATATTTGACACGGTTAACTCCATTACTTAAGGCTTCTCATTAGAACTCCAAAAATTTTCTGTCCAAGCTAGTCACTATTGAGCACACAATGATTATCAGTAACACGGTTGTAGAGATTGTTGAAGATTCTTTTCATCACTAACCTAAAGTTAGAATTATAAAACATTGAACTTCATCTCAGTAGTTTAAAGATTAAAAGATCGTGCACGAGACTTAAATTTCTGTGCTCGATACCTGGTTTCATGGTCGTGGATGAACACTGGTTAGGAGTCCCGTCCTAAGACAAAACAGCTTTCTAGTTCTTCTAGAATTTTCGATGACTGTTTGACATAGGTCTGTTTGCCATCTACATCAAAAAACGCAAAATACTTAAAGAAAAATCAAATTAATTAGGTATGTTAAATTATCCATGAGTGGAAAAAAATTTATAGCTTTCCATTTAATGCACGCGTAGTAATACTATGGATACCGAGACATTCGACTTCACGTTACTATAACGTGAACCACATTTTGTTTTTTAGATAACTAGGCTTTCTCTAGTTGTACAATGTGAAATGATGTTTAAGGCAAGTAACTAAAGTGTATACTCCAGTATCCTGAAGGAACAAATGGCGTGTGAACCAACTTTTGGTCACCGGCTTCCATGGGACTGCATCTCCTCACGATGCTCCACTGCCTTGTGGGTCAGACGTTCAGGTCAAAGGCTCGGGGTGTGGCCCCCTAAGAAAACCACCTGCTTCGGTTCGGGCACCCGAGCAGTATCACAGCCTTCACACAAATCACTTGAGATTTGTGTGGCGCATATGTATTTGGTGCCTCCCTGTACATATACTTATGTGTTAAAATAAATAAATAATATAAAGTGTATAACTTTGAGTGTTAGTTAGGTCCTATATGTTAACTGATTTAATTACAAAGCTTTTATTGGGGTTCTTGACAATATTTATCAATGAAGTAAGCTATTCAACTAAACTAATTTGTTCTGATGAAATTATCTACAAATTTTTATCTTCAGAGATCATCAGATTAGAAGTTTATGCTAATGATGTTGTTCAAAAGAACGATGAAAACTCCATGACCAAAAACTTCACCAAAACCATTAGATTGATTTGTTTTTGAAATTCTTTTTGACTATATTGACTGGCTGAAGTTTTTTGCTTAGGTTCTTAAATAGGATCTGTAACGATATACCTATTGATTATAGATTATTTTGAGTGCCATACATACATCTTCAATCTATAAAACTCAATCAAATTCATATCTGTGTTATCGTACATTGATAGAAGTGATAACATCTGAAATCTCTTTATTGTTAGTTCGTATTAGATTATGGATTATTGAAGGAAACATCCACTCTCTTCAATGGAGTGTTTAGCATGGTTGGTCTAATTCATTTCATAGATAGTACTGGAATCGTCCTCTTTCGTTGTTATGCTATTCATTTTACATAAAATGGAATAAATTTACTGTGAACTCATTACATACAAACATATACAAGTCTCATATGTTTGAAAAGTGCCTTACTGATATTCAATTTGTTGATCCATCATATTGTATAGTGTGTATGTATGTTTACTTTCCTCTTTTATATACATATATTTACAGTATATCCGAAAATTCATATGTCCGACAGTGTAATCTACACAGATATTGGTGTTGAGGAAAGATTCAATGTAAGTTGTTTTTGTATTATTCAATAGTATTATATACATGACATTTCATTATGATTATCATCAATGTTTTGTTGTTCTTAACTTAAAACTACTCTTTTGACAAATTCAGTGGCTTGTTCCATCTAATTCAGCTTAGACAGACGGTAGAAAATCCGAGTATATCATCATCAACCCTATTTAATAGTTGAATTCATGAGTCAATTGAAGCTAGACCATCATGGAAAACCTAGAAGTACTGGACAGCCGTTTTGTCCTAGTATAGGACTCCTCAGTAGTGCTCATCCACGATCTCACCTCGTAAGATCCGAACCCAGGACCTATTGGTCTCGCGCGTATATGTCAACCTCTAAACCACTAGGCCGACATCCTGGGGTGTTAATGTCTAACTTCAATTAATCTACGAAATTGTACCACCGTCTATTTGTTTTATTTACTTATGAAATCAGAATTAGTTGAATTATCATTTCTTATTAACTATTCAATTGGTGGTTTCTCTATATGATAGATTTTTTCGTCCCATCTAGTTGTAAAATATAATATGAATGTCACAAGTTCAAACTATTCATCATTGATGATTTAGATAATAATAATTAAACATGACAGATATTATTTTATAAAGAAATTTGATTAATATCACATTTTCACAGTTTATGTATTTGAACACATAAATATTGGTACAAAGGGGCATCGAATACCTATGAACCACACAAGTCACTTGATTTGAGAGTGGACTGTGATACTACCAGGATGCTCAGACTGATGCAAGTGGTTTTCTTAGGGGGTCACATCTGGAGCCTTCGACCTAAAGATCTGATCCACAAGGCAGTGGAACAACTTGAGGAGATGCAGTCCCATGGTAGACAGAGACCAAAAAAAGGTCCATACGCCATTTGTTCTCTCAGGATCCACAATCGGTTTGAAATCAGAGTTTCCCAACTCCCCTAGTTGTAATTTACGTGTCCATCAACTCGGTTAAAGAGCCAGACATTCTGTTTTCGTCCTTTCAATTCCGTAAACAACACCCCCATCACAAGAAGACAGTGAGTAGGCCTTCTCTGGCAGTGGCTATATACGCGTGGCGATGTGAGAGCATTTTGAGAGGGAGAGCTAACTCTCCCTACTCTCGGCCGTACCAGGGCATTCAAGAGCTAAACTATCATCGAAATTGTGAAAGTATTGAATGGGTGTTTCGTCCTACTTTGTGCTTTCAACTGTGAATATATTACAATTACTAAAAATCTCTCATACTTATAATACTTTATCCATCATCTTGTTTCATGAAGCATCGAAATAATAATAATAATAATAATAATAATAATCGATTTCTCTTTCACTCCTTAGACATTATTATTATTTATCCAACTGTTACCCTCACTTCCTTCCAATCTTATTTATTAACTCATTCGGTCATTCATTCATTCGTCCCGACAATGACCTTAATTATTCTCATAATTATCTTTGTTTTTTTACAATTGTGATCACTTTCCGTTTTTTTTTTTTTGGTTATCTCCGTAAAGAAAATTTTTTATCTTAAAGATTACAGAAATTACTGTTTCAGTTATCACTTAAAAAGGAGAATATATGTTGTTGTCATTGTCAACTGACATCATTTAAGATATTACAGGCATCGTTGATCCACATTTTAGTTATAATATGCAGCTCGTGAATCATCATATAATCACGCTTATAATTAAGAATCAGATAGTCATTGCCTATGGTGTTTGAAATTGATTCAAGTTAGAAAGATGAATCATTATACGCCAACTAAAGATATAGTACAAACAAGTTGACATGAACGTCCTGAGTTCGATCTCTGACAGAATAGTGAGTGTTCTATGCTGAAGAGTCTCAAACTAGGACCGAACTACTTTTAGTGTTAACTACAGTTTACTGTTACATCAGCCGATGCTTGAAAAATGTCAACTTCATCACAATTTTTTATCTCAATGATTATCAGTCAGTCATCTACAATGTAGGTTCAAGCACAAATATGCATCGGTCCAAGTTACCATACCTCATTAGCAGTCATTATGCTACCAGTAGTGTTTGAACTAATCGAGAAATGCAAAAATGACAATCGATGACTAGGTACTAGTATCAACTGCAATAGAAACTTCTGGTTAGCGTTGTTTCAGCGAGTTGGCTTTCTACGGAAGGGAGTCGCTAACTCCAAGTCAAACTCTCCTCCTTTATCCGGGCTTGGGACCGGCTGTGGCCCCAGAGGGGCTCAAGGGGGGTTACGATAGAAACTTACCGATCAGAAATACAGTTTACAAGGCACAAACTAGTTCAAAGAACATTTATCTCTATTTCAATTTCCAACTCTTAAATTTATTTATATCTAATTATTTGGTATACCCCTTTGGGTTACGGAAAGTGAAACGAATAACATTTTATTGTATCTGTTCGTGACAAATTGTTAGGCCACTAGAGTGGTCATAGACATGATACGGTGAATTTATTGAATCAATCACAATGTATCATTTCCTTGAGGATTGCAGGTAGGTCTTTGTGATGAGTTCCAAATAACACAAATCCTGAGCTCAGGTTTTCCTATTAACTGCCTTCAGCTATCACCTGACATATTAGAATAATGAACAAAATGTTGAATGACTTAGACTAGTGGTTACATTGTCAGCTTATTTGATAGAATTCGGTCAGTTCTAACAAGGACTTGACATACATGATATTAATCACTACTCGCACACTGTGAGGTCATAACTGTTGTCTTATCTCTTTCTAAATCTGTTGACAGTTGGAAAAAATTTAAACAAACTTAAAAATGTTATTGTTATGGAGAACAATGAAAACTTCACGATAAAACAAATCACGTACAAAAGAGTCTTCGAATTTCAGTTCATACGCTTCTCTTGCATCAAAGTCATCAATTGAATATGCGGAATTGATGAATGTTACTGTCGATTGACATTTATCATATCAGGCTGTCATAATTTCCGTAGAATACGACTGTCATGATATGTATATACATTAATTGATTAGTGACCAACCATTTACAAGCGTCTTTAAAAAAGTTGTCTGATATGTTCTTCTTACTTACTTACTTACGGATGTTACTTCTAATGGAGCATAGGCCACCGACCGGCATTTTCCAACCCACTCTGTCATGGGTTTTCCTTTCTAGTTCTGTCCAATTTTTGTTCATTTTTCTCATGTTCGTCCCCAGTTCTCCACCTAATGTGTTCTTTGCTCTTCCTCTTCTCTTTTGGCCTTGAGGATTCCATGTAAGGGTTTGTGTTGTGATGCACTTGTGTGCTTTTCTCAATGTGTGTCCTATCCACTTCCAGCATTAACCAAAAAACATCTGATATGTTCATCGGAAAAAAATTCTACTTTAAAACTATTCAACCATAGTTCCGATCCAACATTGGACACTATTTCCCCCTGTGATTGTGAATAGATCAAGTTGAGAAAGACCTAACAGTGCAAAACTTAGATCTAGGACTGTTATTCAATTGCCTTTTACTAAGTAATAATTAGTTTACAATAGATTACCTCTAATGATGAATCCTTGATTTGAAACATACTTATGGTACAATTTTGTTCCTCGGTATTTGGTTGTTATTTGTTTAAAATTGACTATTTTTTTAGTTAAACTAATTGTAATCAACCCCAATTAGTTTATAGTCATGATGTCATCTAACTGACTCATTTCCTGTGTATTTCAAACCGAACAAATTAGATTTTGGTCTAATCACAATTGCCCTATTGATTAAGATCATATATTGAAATGTTAGATAAATATTTATGTAACTAAAGGTCAAAAGGTCGAGAATTAAATTCTTATTGGGTTAATTTCGAGTTCACTCTCTATCTCTATTTCCCTTTTTATCTAGCAATGGTTGCATATCTATTTATGATCGGCGTTCAATGTTCAATACAAAGGAAGGTTAATCCAATATTCTCATTGATTACGCCATCATAAACAGTTATTAACTTTCACAGTTGAAATCATGTACTAATCCTAACTAGACTACCACTGAAAATTTAGAGGCACTGAATGTTATGGGACTTCTCATAAGTGCGCATTTACGATCTCACACGCAGGACTCGGATGCAAAACTTTCGACCTCATGAGTGAACCCTTAACCTCTTAATTGGTCATCATCCAACGATGTTAATGTCTAACTCGAACCAATCCACGAAATTGAGCGACCATCTTTCATTGTACTGAGGAAGATAACTGTCTCTACTCGACACGGATCATCTCCTCTGGTCACAGCTTCTCACTGAAACTCTGAGAATTCCCTCACGAAGCTAGTGACTAGTGACTATTACGTGGATTGGTTGAGGTTAGGCATTAACACCGTTGGATGACGGTCAACTCAGCGATCTGGAGATTAAGCGTTCGTGCGCAAGACTGATGATACTGAGTTCGAATTTCGCGAGCGGGATCGTAGATATACACTGCTGAGGAGTTCCGTACCAGTGCTTCCAGTATCTCTGTGGTGGTCTAACATCAATCAGTTCATGATCTTAATCAAAAACTTAATAATTACGACAATCCTATGCTGATTACTACAGTATTTGGTTAAAGTTGTAGCGTCGTAAAATGAGAGTAGAAGTGTTTATTATTTATTTCAGACATTTTGTATGCCAAGAATTTCATAATCTGTTTATGTTTGTTAGAAAAAACAAAATCATTTTAAACAAACAATGATTTCAGGGATTCAAAACAAAACGTCCATATGGTCATTTATAGGCGATTGTTTTAAAAAAAAAACGATAATTATCAGTTTAGTTGATAGACATTTGTTTGATATTTCAACTTTTAAAATGTACAACAATGTAATACATGAATATAAGGACTAAATAAACTTACTTAAGCCTATTGCCCCTCACGGAGGAGCATAAGCCGCCCACCAGCAAACAAACCCATCCATAGAAATATATTCGATCAACTAAGTAGGAAAGCCGTTTTGTTTTTCGTAACATGAAAATAGTTTTGTGTTAATGTACGAGAAAAAGTGAAGTAAACAGAAAAGTTTACAATTTATTTCGATATGGTTTGTTTGTGATGAGGGACTTCTATTCAACTCGATGTAATGTAGATGGACACATTGTATGTCTATACTTGTACAGTTTTGCCTACCACATTCAAGACTTTTTTTACTACCCAAAAGTGTTGATAGCCAAAAACGACTACACCAGTATGTGACGTAGTGTAGACGCAAATATGTGTTATATGTATGTACAGAACGCACACGTCGAAGATACATGCACTCCGATGGACACTTATAGGTATAGATACGTTCAGTCACAAGTGTACGTTGCATGTGTATATCGAATCTATAGAAGGAGTCTACACGCTCCATAGTTCGTACATAGATACCAGACCTAATGTATCTTCCTAGATATAATCCAATCAGGGAACAAACCGGGGAAAATTCTTCATTTCATTTTTATTTGCACAATACACCCCTTTTGTGATAATCCATCCGATCTGTATTATCAAAGTGAAGGATTAACTCGTTCTCCACTTAAACACCTAAAGTAGTTCATGATACACAAATTTTCTATATCTGAGGCATCACGTATTGGTGTGGTTCAGTCTTTGTCCCAGATGTACTGATCAAGACTAAATAACATTATAACATACCGCCAGAAGAAAATTATGGAATAAAATGGAGAGGATCATGATCAGATAAATTAGAATATTTTAGTAACGTGGTTGTATAATATCAAAGTATATATTTTGAAAATAAGAAATGAACTTAAGAAATATACTACATGAAATGATGATATTCGATTACACGCCAAAACGGTTGATGTCAGAACATTTCCTGATCATAGTAAGTAAGCAACACTACCATTCACTCAATGATTAGTGTATCAATTATTTTGCCAATTATTCTGACTGCTTTCAGAATCGATCACAATGGCATCGTTGTATACACTCTCTTTCTTCCTCTTAATCAAAAGATTAGAATCGCTCCATATCTTCCTTTCTACGAACTAATTCTATCTTCCTGTACTATATCCTTATATGCGATCTTTCTCCTAGGTATTACCACCACTGAATTAACTACTTCTATGAATTCGGTGTTCATCTTGTTGTGCTAATGCGGTATGGCAACTTGGACCGATGCATATATGTGCCTGGTCCTACGTTGCAGCTGACTGACTGACTGACAATCCAGCTAAAACACACGAATATTAATAAATTCCAGACATTCATTGGTAGTTAGCTCTCTAGCTAGATAATGTGTTTAGGTTACTTTGACGTTCACAAATGGACCAACACGTTTCAAGTTTGAAATTAAGTCCATCTATCATAATGGTACATAAAAGCTGCTAGCTGGCATACAGTTTTAATAGGACTTTTATTCATAAATTCATCCATAAACCTTCCATACTATACTAAACTATCAAGGTGCTGATATATATATATATATATATATATATATATATATATATATATATATATATTACTTTACGGAATTCTCCTGCTTTCTTCTATTCTCATGCTAGATTCTGGTAACAGGTTATCCAACTCCAACCCTAACCTGCAACGATCTACCAGTTGGTGATGCACACATGTTATCCAATAAACCTCAAGGCGGAACATGGGCATATCGTGTTGTATTAAATCAGATTACATCACAACATTTACATGAGTATCTATGCAAAGCAAATAATAGTTTAGGCAGTGTAAATCAAAAGTTAGAAGTGACTGGTAAGAGATTTTTTTGTGTGTCTATTTTGTTTTTAATCACTGATTAGTATATATAAGCATTTCTTCAATTCGAAAATCAAATATAATTTGTAAATATAACTAGTAGCCATATACATACACGACCTTTATATACACTGACATGGTGATTGATCTGCCCGTACGGTTTAAAATGACACTATTCACTAATGTTTTACCAAAGATTTTGAAGATATTCAGTGCTTCAGAAAGAGATGGTTGTTACAAAGGGTTCCCCTTAAGTGATTGATACACTTTAATACATCTCATATGTCCCCAGATCTCAAAAAAAGAATTGTGTACAAACATACCGGCAACCTTGGAATTTCATCTTCCGACGTTCCACCACCAATTTGTGAACTAAATCCTTAAGCCAAAGGTATGGAGCGTTTCACAGACATGAAAATATTTCCCCTCTCACATAAGTAATGATGATTATTAATTAAAAAAATAAAAAGGGATTCGGTAATTCTTTAATAGCACCCTTCAATCTACCAATAAGAAGTCAAAGATTATGATTGTTTTCTTTACGGTTATTAAAACCGTACAATGATCTTTCCATCTTTGAAAAAGAGTGGGCTTGAACCCGAAACATGACGTTATTTGTGACAAATGACAACATGAGCCTTTAAAATTATTTACTTTCATAATAAATCTAAAGTTTCACTCTATTAGATAGTCGGAAGTAGTCAACAGGAAACTATGCTTGATTTAGATTTCTTGTTACTCAGGAACATGGTGGGCCTTTGAAATTCAGAGGACTGATGCTCTCTTACGGACTAGATCCCGTGTCACTCCGTCTTGGCAGTCTGAGACGTTACGAGGACTGACCTGTTGAACTGAGATGTATTTGCAGTTGATCAACTACTAAATGGTGACCAATGTCATGTTCACTACCACTAATGAAGACCTGATAAAACTAACTTTCTCGTTCCCTGTATAGTCTCTTTCTGTATTTATAGTCATCAATTTTTTGATTTAAAATAATTCTTGTGCTTAAATTAGTTCAACTTTAATTGTCACTATTTGATTATGTCGGTTACAGTTGCTCCAGCACCTCCGAAAATTTTATCTACGAATTCAACAGAATTTGCTGATTATTATCTATTACATTGGACAACAAATTCCCGTGCACCTTTAAAGAATGTCACTGTTACTATAAGTGAAATATCATCGAATACAGTGAGTTTTTATTTGTCAATTTTGTGTTCATTTTCTAATCGTTTTTATATTACATAAATTTCAAATGAATGTTTAATGATGTACGGGTCGCGGCATCGATAGCTCAGCGGTAACTTCTCTGTGACATATGATTGAATCCGTCAGAGAGCGATGTTTCCATCAAGATTACTTGTGCACCCTGCTGACAAGTGCCAAGAAGCACGAAACCTCGACTCAGGGTTTCCTGTTAAGTGCCTCCATCTTACCCTTAGTAATATTTATATTCTTCTAAATCAATGAATCCTTATGAACCGTTTGCTTTAATTATTCTCTCACTGACTATTGACCTGAGTCATATAAATAGAAGTGAACTAACTGATTGATGTTCGCCGGATAACCGTGATCAGCAGTTGAAGACTTTGAGTTATATGACTCAGAATTACTCAAAATGGTGAAAATACACTCACTCTTTATATTCATCTAGATCTTGAATTCCAATATTTCTCCATTTATACTTGTCCATTCTTTTTTTACAATTTATACTTTCAACGTTTAATATTTCTTTTTCTCATTCCCTCTACATACTCTGCTTAGAGCCTCTCTAGGGCTACTGCCGGTCCAAACCCCGGATAAAGGAGGCGGGTTGGGCATGGGCTTACCGACCCCATCCCGTGGAAAACTAACTTGCTAAAAAAAAACTCAAACGAGAAAAATTCCCTCTACATGATTTGATTTCTTTTATTATTTTCACCTCATGGCGTTAATCAGGTGTGGAAACATGAGCTAACATATATCCGTCCTAAGCTCTATGTTTATGTCACCTATCTACCTTTCTTAACAGCGTTTCACTTAGAAGAGATTACATGGGCTCGGCTGGAAGCCTTAATTTAAAAGACACTATATAATATATGAACTGTAGCTTAGATTAGGGTTTCAATTCTGTCATCTGTTGGTTGACAGTCGCCCACGTCCACCACTAAGCCAATGCTCTATTATGAGTCTCCTACCTTCATATGATCTGTGTGCTGTCGGATTCTATGTTATAAGCACAGTATACTCCACTATAGTAGAGTCATCATTTACGTGAGTCCGTTGCCTTTCTTGGAGCATAGGCCGCCACACCCACGACCCATGATGACGGGGTTGTTGATGCGTAATATTGAGAAGTCCCATACTATGGCGAAACGGTCTTTCAATGTTTCCTAGTTTTCAATAGTTGTCAATAAAACTCGTCAATCTGCAAAACCCTATACTGATAACTATGCCTATATTTATAGGTGAATATTCAGGTATATTCAAACTTATTTCATTGCATTTCCCAGGTCTATAGGCACATTGTCAATCAAGTCATTGTTATGTTCATATCTTATCAGTTCTTATCTTTATCTATCCAATATGTTTTCAGTAAAGTAATGAACAGATTAGTAATAGTAGTAGTATTAATTGTATGGGCAAATTATTCCATTTCATTCATACATCACATCTGTTTAAATTTCCTACTGATTGTCGTTTCGCATATTCTTGATAAATTTTCTATCACTATTATATTTGACTAATTAACTGACCTATGACTAGAAATTTCTATTAGGTACATTATGAAAGGAGACACATTTTATTTATCACTATTATTCTTGTCTTTCTTCAGTTCTTCCCTCATCTTTTGCACTTTTCTATCCTCCCAATTTCTTTACTGTTTGTTTAGTCACTTTCCAGTTGTTGTTGTTGTTGTTACGACTTTCATTGATTTGAAGATTCACTATAATCTATTGTGTATCGTTTATTTACTTATCTATTTCATGATTAGATACGCTCAGCCAGTTGGATACCGTAAATTCACGTATGATTGTATGTATGTGTATGTATGAGTGAATAAGTGAGTCAATAGGTCTTCATTTGTTATCATAATTATGCTAAATGATAACAGAAAGAAAAACACCACCACCACCACCACCAACAACAACAACAACAGAGAATAGTTGGTCAACTGTATGTTCCCATTTTATGAAAATATCCCTCTTCTTCTCTTCTTTCTGGCTTCATGTACATGCCTTTCTATTTTCTTAAATGGGATAAATGTGAACATGTTTTTCTTTTTTTTTTTTCGTGAAAGAACAAACTAATTATTGAATTAACTACTATTTAGCCCGACAGTATTATCAATGATCAGTAGATTTGTATAGAAAATTAATTAACATTGATTTTCTAATAAATAACCGTTGATAATTGAATAATGATCCTTATCATATTATTCAATGGGTAGATACAAATAAAAAAACAACACCAAATGAATTTAAACAAAGCAGTTGACTATCAGAAAACGAATGGTACTGGGTTCGAGTCCTAGTGTGAATAGAAACTGTAAGATGCAAGTACATCCAACTGACGAGTCTCAAATACGATGAATTCGCGTACCGGATTCCACTGCTATCCACTATCCTCATCTTTGCTTAAAATACTTTTGACTTGAGGTTATATCAAAACAATCCGCATAGAATGTACATATACCAATAAGAGATTGATCAATTACAGTCCTAAATAACAATAGGAAGATACAAATAAAAGCAACATCAAGTGAAGTCTGAGTTAGATAGTTTAACTGCAAAGTTTTCTTTATCATTCTGGACAATATCTTCAGAGTGTAGTTCATGTAAAAAAAAAGAGCCTGAATGAATAATATTTAAATCATTTAGTGATTAACATAAACATCAATATCGGCGCAATCTACAAATGTATACGGACAAGATCAGTAAATTACAAATCCGGAGATCAATCAACATGATTATAAAGGTAAAGTAAGGCAACTAATCATGAATAAAGCCTTCAGAATGAACTAAAGTAACAATTATAGAATAACTAGAATGCTCACTTCTATACATAAAGTCGGCTTCGAGTCACAACCACTTAACTTAGAGAACTTAACAGCTGTCTAAGTTTCAAATTTTCTCTATCATTTCATTATTTGAGAAGAAAGTTCATTTCGTAATCACTTTTTTTCTAAATGATGTTTTGATCTAAAGGAATCTAATGCTGGTAGTTCGATTGTTCCACGTTCTCCAGTACTTCATGAACGTGTATTTAATTTGGAAGATGATAAAATTGATACAACATCTACAGTGATTCAACATATACAATCGAATTCAACTAATTTAAAACAAATCTGGCATCATTTACCAAATCTTAGTTCAGATACACGTCATGATATTAGTTTAAGTGTTTGCAATACTTATGCATGTTCAAAATCATCAGCAATAAAAGATCGATTTGGTAGTTCTCCAAGTAGATTTACATTTAAAACACCTGAATTTGATGGTAAGTATTTTAGTGTTTTCATTTACTGTATATTGAGTGAATGTTGTAATTCAATGGGTTTTTTATGTTAATTTCTTATTGTTCTGTGTGTGTGCTTTTAGCATATTCTCATTATCATGTGCTCGCTAGTGATTAGATTCAAGATAAAACTCTAGGAGTTCTAGGGGAAAACTGTTAACAACGAGGTTTGGTCCATACCAGATGTGATACAGTTATACACGAAAGACTGTGGATGAAGGTCGATTGTGGTTAGGCATTAACAAAGTTGAATGCCGGTTCAGTGGTCTAGCGGTTAAGAGATCTATGTTTCTGGGTTTAGAGTCATGAATGTGAACTAATGAGGAGCCCCATACTAGATTGAAACGGCCATCTAGTGCCTTCAGATTTCCGATGCTGATGTAGCTCTGATCGACATAACTTTCAATGAAAGGATCTCTTTCAAAGGATTTTATTCATCGAATTGTACATTTGTACAATTCATTCCATCATGACATATGCACAACGAATAATCATGATGATGTAATAGAAAGATTATAAAACTGGATTACGTAATGTGAATAGTATAGTGTGTTCAAATAAAAAAAATCAATAATTTAACGATAGTTTCGTTACGCAATAATTAAAGGTAATTAGAAGGGCTAAATAAAATGAAATAATGTTGGAGATAGTTATGAATAAAATGATAGAGATATGAGAAATATGTAAAGAGAGAGGGGGATATGCTTATACATTCACAATATAGATGATGGCAAGATGTACTTCTTTTACACACACAGTTTTGGCTTTGTTTCATGGATTACATAAGCTTATTCTGTTTTTAGTATTTACTCTGGTACGGCCAAAAGTGAAGAGTCCGTTATCCCTTTCGAAATGTTCACGGCCACGCATATATAGCCCTTGCCAAGGAAGTCCTGCTCATTGACTTCTCGTGAAGCGGATGTTGTTCACGAAACTGAGAAGATGGAAAGCGAATGTTCGGTGCTTTAACCGGGTTGGTGGATACGGAGAGTCCACCTAGGGCAGTTACAAAACCCTCATTCCAAAACAATGATGTACATGGGTTCCACTATCCTGAAGGAACAAATGGCGTATGAACCATTCATTGGTCACCGGCTACGATGGGACTACATCTACGTTGCTCCACTGCCCTGTGGGTCAGACCTTTAGGTCGAAGGCTCCGGGTGTGGTCCCCTAAGAAAAACATCTGCTTCGGTTTGGGCACCCGGTGCGTAACACAGCTCTCACAAAAATCAAATGAGATTTGTGTGGCGTATATGTATCTTGTACCAACATCTATGTGTTCAAATAAGTAAATAAAATGAAATTTGGTTACGTACAAATCTAGATAGATTTGCATGAATTGTATATAAAATCTTGAAACTAACCTGTGGATCAGTGGACTGGTTGGAATCGGTTTAATTTTCAAGAAAGAAACATTTACCTGATTCCCTCTTATCTTCGTAAAACCACACTTAGACATGTTCTTGTTTCTGAGTTGAAGGCAAACATTGGCTGCGGCCTATGTACCTTGCTCCATATCAGCAGGTGAACTGATAAGTGCATATGTCGTCGATTAGTTGAGAAGATTTATCCTTTACGGATGTAGAAAACAAGTTTCTGCTAGTAAACGTTATTCACAACATTGCACCAGTGAACGTTCTTTTTTTCGCTGCTGTCAACCGATTTTCAAATACATCAAAATTTAGATCACATTAAAATTCTAAATTCATATAAAGATAATTCTTTGGAAGGGATTTACTGAATTCCTTGTTCCGACATCCTTTCACGTTGTTCTCTATGAAGGGACTTGAACAGCCGTTTTCAGCCAAAGCCTCCAGTCAGTCAGTCTGTAACAACACAGGACGTCTTATGTACGTACATCAGTGAAATAAATTTGGAATGAGAAAAAAATAGGGGACATGAACAGTTCATAAGATTACAATTTGGGAGAACACAAAGAGTAGATGCACCTGAGCGATTGCAAACGTTTTTAAGCTATGTCACATTCCAGGTCTCTAACCATCGGTTACTATCATCTCGCATATCCCAACCAGGTACAGACCTTACGTATTCGGTAACAGAAATGATGAATAAGATTCCTCTTCCTGCTTAGTGGAACCCAGGCTGTGGAAGTTGGTCAGTTAGCAGTTTCATGTTTTTTTTTTCTGTAATTGGACCTTTTTAAGGATCTACTACTCCTTATTAGAAGCACATTACGAACTGAGGTAGAATGACTGACTTACTTGATTTTTTTTATCATGAAATCTTTAGAAGGACGACATATTTTGAAAGATTACGAACTTCAATTTATTCGATATTATCGTTGTGAATGACAAATACGTCTTCAACACGTTTGGCGACCGAACTATGTTAATCCTTTTCCAGGTTACAGAAGAAATAGTATGCTAGGAATGAGCCGAATGGGGACCCCATTGCGATCCTATCTACTTGTGTATGTATTTTATTGTTAAAATTGAACAGGACATAAAAGACATGACGTAATGTTGTTGATTCAAGTGGGTGGTCGGCAGGCCTACAACTATGTTGTTAGGATCAATTTACTCACATATACACAAATTTGTTACAAAGACAGCCTTTGTAACTATGAAGGAAGAATTATGTTTCAGCAAACATATGACAAATAACAAGGTTAATCGACCACTCAGGGTTTACTGGGCATAGTAATATTCATAGCTATTTTGAGATAAGTAGATGTATATAACGAATACATACTTAACTGTTACTATGATTTCTCTGATAACTCAAAGACTCTGAACATTCATTCTTATCTCTTTGAAAACGTCATTTAGCAAAAGCAAATCACTACCAGATGTATTGAGTCCTCACCATTCAGATGTTGCAATTCATTGCATAACAATTGCTGACTAAAAAAATGTTCTGAACTAGTCAGAAAGCTATTCTCTGTATGAAAACAATCAATCTTAAATAGCATTTTCTGAAAACTTGTTCAAAAAGACTTTCTTTTCTATTTATAACAGAATGTATACAATAATTATCATAGTACATATTCGTATATTATGAAATGATTATGGGACGTTAGTTAATCAGTCAACTGTGACTCAGAACTTAGGACATATAATTATCGATGAAAGTTGTCACACCACATCACCAGAGTGAGATAAATCTCAAGATAGTAGAAGTAGTAGTACTATGAGTAACAATAGGGCTAGTAGTTGAGATAACAGTTGTATTTTCGTGAACGAGAAAACTCTCCTCGGTTCCATTTCGGCAGAGATGCTAAATGTAATGAATGAGAAGACAGGTGAGGACAACTAATGTAATTTAATACAAGAATAAAGAGTTCTTTTATCGAATGTGGAAACCATACATTCAATACTTCATTTACAAATCCTCCATCAATTGTCTCAAACTTCATCGTTCCTTCATTGCCATAACAATTACTCTCTGTGCCCGTTCTCATTATTTCGATTTTCCCAACCTTCTGCCGTGCACTCCATTTCTGATTAGTGTTATATACTACTTATGTCGAGAGACATTCCTGAAGCTTAGGATCTTACGAAAGATTGATTTTCAGTCATATTATGGTGATCACATGAACTCCAACCAGGTAAACTGCAGTAATATTAAATACTGGACTATCTTTTTACTACCAATTTCCCTGGATAGTTGATTAAAAACAGACGATAAGTAAAAATGATGAAATCTTGATTGTTTGTACAGAATACCCTATAGAGATGCATAGCTTCTTATCATAGTTGATCATGCACATATATGCCAATAACAAAACTGACTAATTGTTGTCTTAAACATCAACCACAAAATTCAAACAAACATTTCTATAAGCAAAGTTTGATAGTGGCTAGAAGTGGAATCCAGGACAAGGCGCGTTTTATCCTATTTGCGAAGTGTCAGCTGGGTGTACCTGCATCTCAGAGTTTATGTTCACTCTGGGACTCGAACCCAGTACACTTCGCTACGAACACCATCTTGTTATCCACTTAGCTACTGAGTCCTGGTAGCCACTTGCTTGTAAATTAAGGCAATATCGAGGCAATACGCACAGTAAGCACATATGCCAATAAAAGACTGATCAATCTCAGTCCCAAACATCAATGGAGAGATTCAAGTGAATTAAACATTTCTATAGTTTTTAATTTAACATTACAGATTAACTCTACCTAAACAATTATGAAAAGTTAGGAAATACAGTATACCTATTTCATCTTCATATTTCTATCTACAACACCCAATATTTATGACCCTATCAGAGATCGAACCCAGGACCCTTAGATCGTAAAAACCAGAAGTTACTATCTGGTGGTATATATCTCCAACATCAATTAATTCCATGATAACTGTCTGACTCTCGACACCATTGATCTTCATTAATCACAATCTGTCGCCTAAACTGTATCGCTCCCTTTAAAAGTTAGTCATTGTTGAGTACATGTTTGTTAATAGCAAGGAGAATTTACTGAAACTGTTCATTTTGTAATTATGTAAGTAGCTTTTTACATAAAAGTCGATCTGTATGGTAATTTTATTGTTGAATTCATGAGTCGATTGAAGCTGAACCACCATGATAAACCTGGAAGTACTGGACTTCTAGAAGTTAAGCGTCCGCACGCGAGGTCGATAGGTCCTATGTTCCAATCTTGCGGAGGTGGGATCTTGTATGCGCACTACTGAGGAGTGCCACAATAAGACCAAACGGACGTCTAGCGCTTCCAGGTCTTTCATGATGATCTAGCTTAACTATTAAATCTATACTTGATAAGATATCCATATCGTTTGTTAGTCATAATTTTAATTTTATTATCACGAAACATAATCCAGTTAACTGTCGTTAACATAGTGTCATAATGTCTTTCATACTGTAAAATATTATCATCTAATTACTACTGTGATCACAAAAAAAGGTGTGAACAAATGTTATGTCATAGTAGAATACCAAAAAGGTGAGTGAGTGAGTGGGTGAGAGAGAATGTTTAACTATCAAATGATTACAACATAATAATTCATAATACATTTGAAATGTGATAAGAGTTGAAATTACCGATGATTAATTAATTGCTAAGTTGCTAAGGCTGTTATGTTTATCATGTTTTTAAGTAATGATGGAACTGTATCTGTCAAGTTAAAATATGGACGCTAATCTAGTTGATTCGATATTCTGTCCTATATTTTTCAATGTTAAGTGGTTAGAGATAGTCGGCTGAAAACTATAGTTCATCTAGGTTTTCAACTGGTATACCTCTGATCATGTGGGTTCAAATCCTGTTTCACGGTTTACAACTTTACTAGTGAGGTATTAAGGCAGCTAAGACCCTCCAGTAGAATTAAAACAATTGCATTGATTAATGAATACTGACTGGTCCTTGCGATTCTGTAGATCATATTGGAATGCAAACTCTTGTCTAGGTGACCTAAGATCGTTTGTACTATTCTAAAATGTTAAGTCGTTGGAGGTAGTTGATGCAGATTAAGTATTCTATTTCATCTAAATTCTAGGTATGACTTTTATAACGAGTCCCAGATAAGAGGAAATGTAGTTGCAGGATTCTTTTGCTTATTATTTCCAACTATGTTTTCATTTGAATCTTAACCACGTAGTTCACACTTGCTAAAACACTTCAAACTTATAGTCTAAAACTTCACGCACTGTTAATACAACTTGATTCATCAGTAAGACTGTTCAATTTCATTGAAATCATTAACCCATCTAAGGAATCCTATACAAGGATAAAACACTCGTTCAATGCTTCCTGGTTTTCAATGATTGCATAATTTAGATGTGTTCATGATTTCAATGAACTTCAACAATCTATACAACCTACACACTAATAAATATCATATGCTGAAAAGTGACTAGAGTTAAAAGGAAAATTTCTGTAGCTCTGGTGAGAATCTATGATAAGTGAAGTTCAATAATGTCGAGTATGAGGCTGTTTTCCATCTCAGAGAATAGAAAATGGTCACGTAATGTCGTAGATGGATTAAAGTTAGACATTAACACAGTTGGATTAGATTATTTATATAAGCTTGAATATCTTAACTACCTTTTATATAGATTACCTGTTGATCTTGAACGTGATGATGATGATAATACTAGTCAACCTCTTTGTAATTTGATGTATGATGTTGTTAAGTGGAAATAGTCAAAACCACATTTAGAAAATCGCCTCTTTCTATCTAAAAAAAAAACGGTTTCCTAATCTATTCGTCCAAATAGCCTATTCACTTTCGATTCGAATATTTATTTGAGTTTTCATAATATCACAGTCATGTGTAATAAAAGAAATAACTTACATTTTTTGTAACGATGATATATTCTTAGAAGTAAGAAGCTGTAGTTATGATGGAGTTCATTAATGTCGAGTATGAGCCAGTTTTCCATCTCAGACAATAAATGATCATATAATGTCGTAGATCGATTGAAGACAGATATTAACACTGTTATATATGAGCTCCATTGTGTAAAAGTCAGGAGTTCTCAGTATGATTCCTTGTTGGAGTGTCATGGATGAACATTGTGGATCAGTTCCATATTGAAACAGATTATCTTGATGTATTTGTTTAAGATTCCCTTTTTCGAATCAACTACTATTCCAACATCTCTATTTCTAACAGTCATAATTTAAGGATTGCTTTAGTTTGTTTTTTCTTTTTAAATAAAAGAAAATAATAAAACATTTTATGTTCATTTCATTACATTTCAAGGACTAAAATAGTAATTTAATGATTCCATCCATCCCTTTTTTTTCCTATTATTGTACACGTTTACATTTGTTTTTTTTTGTTGTTAAATGTATGTTTGAAACATGAAAACGAGTGATGTAAGCCCTATGTCTACCTGTTTGCTTGTTCCTATGTGGTATGTATGAGCTGGTGTAAGCTTCAAACTAATAATAATAATAATGATAATAATAATAATAATAGTGGTAATAGTAATAATAGCAATAATCATAATAGTAATAGTAACAACAGTAGTATCAATAACAATAATAGTAATAATGATAATAATGGTAATAATAATAATAGTGATAAGAGCAATAATAGTGGTAGTAGTAGTAATAGTTATAATGATAATAGTGATAATATTAGTAATAGTAGTAGTAGTAGTAGCAGTAATGATAATAGTAATAATAATAATAGTGGTAATAGTAGTAATAGTAATAATAGTAATAATGGTAATAATATTGACGATAGTGGTAGTAGTAATAATAATAGTAATAATACTACTACTAATAATAATATTAATAATAATGATAATAGTGGTAGTAGTGGTAATAATAATAATAGTGATAATAATAATATTAATAATAATAATGGTAAGACTGAATATTTTGTCTCCAACATCAATCTGATTTATATTTCTTATCTCTAGACAGAAATAGATTTTTTGTGCCCATTCACTTGGAGACAATAAAATTTGAATTTCCTCTTTTCTTTTTATTTTGTTTTATATACAAAAACATTTAGTACAAACCATTAAATGACAAAAAAAAATGAATTTTTAATTAGAAAAAGAAAATTGGATGAAAGAAATTGTCCCTTAGAGATTATGTATTAAATTTTTTTTTGTTTAAAATAAATATGACGACATTTGATCATTATATGTAGTTTTTATTTTTTTTGTGTTTATCATGTAAACCATACTATGGAAGGTATAATAAGTGGGTTAGATTTTGATTATCTTCCATTGACTGATATAGGTAACTAACTCACAACCTATGCTTAGAACTCTTAGAATCACATTTCGAAGTTCACTGATAGTAAGTACATCAGTTAGAGGGTATTTGTGAAGATCAATAGTAATTGATCACAAATGCTTTAGAAATATTACTCGCATTTGCTGGAATCACCAGGTAAGTAATAGTGAGGTAAGACGCAGTGTATTAGGGAATGATGATGGTAAATCAGTTGATGAGGTTGTAAATCTTCATCGACTCAGATGGTTGGGCCACGAATTACGTATACCTGAACACCATTTACTACGATGTGCAATGCTGATTAGTGTTGGGAATGGTTGGAAGAAAGGTAGGGGTGGCCAAACCGAAACTTGGCATCAGTCTATAGAGTTATAAACTTCTACTCTGAGTCATGTTGGTAAATGGAGACTACTTGGTTAGGATGCGCGTGACTATCGTAACCAATGATTGGAAATCTTGGTGACATGACTCAGAATCAATCACAATGGTGTAGATGTATACACTCTCTGTCTGTCTTTAACTTAAGATATTAAAATCGCTTCATATCTTTCTTCCTGTACTATATCCTTATATGCAATTATCCTTTTATATATTACTATCATTGAATTAACTACTTCTATGAATTCGGTGTTCATATTGTTGTGCTAATCAGGTGTGACAATTATCGAGGCTAGTATTTTAGATGCTATATTAATTAAACTAATCCCTCTATGGTTGTCACAGGATGATTTTGACCCTTTCTTATATATTGGGACGATAAGTGATTGTGACAGTGCTGTGTGTACGGTAAGACTAAAATCACAAACATAATATCTGAGGGGAAAAGTCATATTGCTGATTAAACAAGAATGTAACAGTAATAAAATGTTTCATTCTGATAGCCAGCATTTATGCCAATGCTGTTATCTCACAATGGAAAGATGAGATTTGAGAAGTTTAGTTTTAAAAATGTCATAGACAATTTCAATCAACAATTTCATAAGCTTAAAAGATCTACTTTGCAGTTATTAGAGAAACTCATCGACAATATTTAGAAATTTATAATAATGAATTTGTAATCATCATCAGTAATGGTTTCAAATGAGTTGCATATGATCCTATTCAAAAATTAAACTTTCATTCATTAGATGTAGTTTAACTATTTAATAAAGATCTATACCGTAGTTGTTCATTTCTTTTCATAGTGAATGTTCTTATTCACTTGATAACATTCTCACATATTTGATATTCATGACAGAATTTTGTTCGGTGTTCCTTGACATATGTGAATGCTGTATTAACTAGAAATTGAATGATGTTCATAATTTCATCACAAGTTAGTGTCTATCTGAACTAAATAGATCACTTGGTAAGGTATTAGGAGTTTAAATTGAAAGGTTACCAAGTTTAAAACTCATTATGAATATCAACAATTGGATCCAAATACAGTCAACTGATGTGTCTCGAAGGGGATGAAATGCTTCTTTAGATTCCACTATTAGTCATAATTCATCTGTTCTACAAAGTTGAACGTGATCTTAATTGGATTTCTATAATTTAGATCACATAATGATCTTAGATCATCCATGAATTTCAGGAAGCCTTGTATAGCTGTTTCATATAGGTATGAATTTTATTTAATCGAAATCGTACTGATGTACTTCCTTTGTTCTTATGCTCCTATATCATTTGGAAATGAATATTTCTATTCAATTTTCTTTTGATCCGCTTTTTTTTTCCATTAGGTTCAAACAAAATTAATCCATCTCTATTACAACGAAGTCCAAAAGACCTTCTATCATTGGATGGTGATGAAATTAGTAAGTCTATAAGAAATTTATACTGTTTAGTTCAGTTCAGTTCAGTTTTTAGTTCAGTTTATTAAACAGTAAGTTTATGTAACTGAGTTTGAGTTATACTGTTTGTGTGTGTAACGTCTATTGATACTATATACTTGATTATCAAGAATTGAAGTAGTTATTCCGAAATTCATACCGGATGCCTTGTGACTTAAAAATCAATTGACTAGTCAAAGTATTATTATGTTTCCTCTGTAAGGTGGGGGATGGAGATGGATGTTTTGTATTAAAGTGACGGATGAGTGTAAATATGATGTTAGATGTTTTGAAGGGAAGATAATCGATTCGAATCATGAAGTGAAGGTGATCGTTAATTATTGTTAGACATTAACACTACTAGATGTGGGCTTAATGATCTAGAGGTTAAGTATTAACATGCAATACTGATGATCCTAAGTTCGAATCTTCGATACACGGTTGTGAAAGCACACTGGCGAAGATTCTTATACTAAGATAAAACTGCTATCCAACACTTCTCGGCTTTCAATAGTAGTCCATTTGAAATCAGTTCTTCATTTGACAGTTAATAAAAGATAATATTAATCGGACTGCTCATTGAAAAAAATTCGAAAATACAGTTAATTAAAGTGTCAACATGAACCACTAAGTTATGGTTTCAACGTTCAATTATCCAGCCACTAACGTTAACACTGCCACTATATCATTGATATGAACCCCAACTAAAAGCAGTTTACACTTATGTGGTTTAACCAGCGAATATTTTGATACCTACTTGCTTATAGTAAATAATGCTAAATGTTATTTAAATCTCAAATTAGCCTACGTTTGACAATCATTGAAAACTAGGAAGCACTGGATAACTATTTAGTCCTAGTATCGAATAACTCACTGGAGTTCGAACACAGAGTCTTCAGTTCACACTCAAACCACAGAGTCGACATCCACTTGTTTATAAATCTAACTTCAATCAGTTCGCCACATTGTGCAACTAACTGTCATTGTCTTCAGTAGGTAAATAGTCTCACATTCAACAGGCTTAAACACTAGAACATTGAAAATTTCTGCTCGAATGATAATTATTACCATTGGGTTTAGGGTGACCACTTAATGTTATTCAGAACATGAACTGGCCTAATATTTCTGGTTTTTAATAGTTATCTAACTTAGGTTCCTTAGTGATCTCAATAAAATTTAGCAATCTTTACCTCCCGCCTCCTTATACTGATGAATACTAGATATATTAGTGGTAGATTTTTTTTTATGGAATTTTGTATGTTGTCTAACTAGGTGATCGGGTTCTTGGTCTTCATGACATTATTAAAATAGGAATATTGTTTACTTCCACCTTCTAGAAATAGTTTTATGTTATAGTAATTGTAATTGAGAAATTGATCAACAAATGGTCTTTCCCTTTTTCAGATAATCTACATTGTATTACTCCATCATCTTTAAATATAATAATTATCTAATTGATTAGAAACAGAAGTTTTGTAGAGATCCGATCTCGCATGTTGGTTTTTATCCCGAATGGAGTTGTAGATCTCATAGTAAAACAATACAACTGTTCAAAGCTTTCTGGATTTCTAATGGTGACTTAATTAAGATCAGTCCATTATGTTAAGTATGAAAAGTCAGGTTATTGTTAACTAAAATATCACTAATGAAGAATGGAGTTTATCCAACTGATCCAACAATTACTGTAAATATACTTACTTACTTATTTACGCTAGTTACTGCTCATGGAGGAACATAGGCTGCCCACCAGCATTCTGCATCCAATCCTTTCCAATTCTTTCCAGTTGTTATTCACCCTTTTTATATCTACTTTTATTTCCCGACATGTGTTCTTTGGCTTTCCTCCTTTCCATTTTCCTTCAGGATTCCAAATTAGGGTTTGCCTCATGATGCAATTTGATGATCTGCGTAATGTATGTCGTATCCATTTCCATCATCTATTCCTAATTTCCTCTTCAGCTGGTAACTGGAAGCTAACCAGAAATAATAATTCAAACTGTAAATTTACATAATCACAAATTTAAAATAAATGAATATGGTAATCTTCAAAGTAAAAATTAACCATTCTATCTAGAAAGTAAAAATACTTACAGTTGGATATATTTGAGTATGATAATAGTTAACAATGTATAATCCTACACTTACCAACATGACTATTATTAGATATCTCACTGTGTGTATGGATTAATTCCATGTGCTGATAAAGGTCTTCTGAACTCCTTCACTTACATCAACGAGTTGTTCAGTCCGAGATTAACAAAGATTAGCTATAGGTAGTGAATAGTATACAACTTACTATCATGTCAATTGATGAGGGCTTATATCCTTATCAGTTGAATTGTCTTTTCCAATCTAGTATACGACGTCTAATCTCAATGATAAGGTAAATATCATTCAAGTTACTAAGAAAACAGTATGTGTGGATTATTTATTTATTTATTCATAATTATCAAACCCGTGAGTCGGTAGGGTTACTATCTGGATATCGATAACAAATCAAATGACTTATCACAAGGGCATCTCTCGAGACTTTCACATAGATATCTTATTTACAAGACAATGAAGATATGGTTACGGATAATCAAAATAGGTTCATACTTCACTTATTACTTCTAGGTTATAGAATCTCTATACAACACTGGATTTTGTAACTCCTAGAAACATATTGTTTCATTAGAATATTTCAAGAAAGCGAGTATACTCTCTTCTCGATTTGGCTATACCAAGGTATATAAACCTAATGCCGAACATAGTACAGTTTTGTATCGCTTAGTTTTTAAACCTTTAAAATAAACGGATATATATTTTAAGAAACACGCACACACACACACATTCACATTATATGGCCAAAAATGGTAGCTTTTACATAATAAAAAAAAACTAAAAATAATGTGAATTATGCAAACAATTAAATGAAATCATGTGTTTGTTTGTTTGTTTGTTTTTTCTCTATATCCATTTGCCACATTTTTTGTTCACTGTTTCAAATTTTGTGAATATTTGACAAAAATAACCTTTTTTTTCAACCTCCTCTCACTCTCTCTCCCCCTCCCTCCAACCACCCACCCACCCCCAACAACTTCGTTATGAGAATGAATTAAGTTTCTCTGTTAATTTTTCTATCACATGAATGATAATGAAAAAATAAGAATGAAAATCAAAGTTTCGTTTGTTAATTATCATTACTACCACCACTACTACTACTATTTTTATTATTATTATTATTAGTAGTAGTAGTAGTAGTAGTGGTGTTGGTATTAGGAATAGTACTGTTATTATCATTACCCTTACTCTTAGGAAATATCCTCAGTGTTTTTGCAAATAAACATTCATTATGCCAATCAATTACATAACATACTAATCTTATCACTAATGTTACTAACATAAACGATTTCACGTTGATGGGGAACTTGTAATAGTAGTAACGATTTAACATCTCTGTTTTTGGATTATACTAATACTACTGCTTACTAATGATTATAACATATGGTTTATGAATCAGATTTGGGACAAGATTTAGTTTTTTTTAACCGTTGTTGCTACCTTGACGTAGTGGTCGGGTTTGCCTATAGTGATGAAGCAACTGAGCTATACTGGCTGGAACAACCGTTCCTCAAGGTCCTACCATGCCAGACAGGTCGGTTAAAGAGCGGTAAGACTAAAAGCAACAAAACCAAGGTCCGAAGGCGAAGTCGTACTGCCGACTGTACAGAGGTGTGACAGCAGTAAGGTGTTTCCTTCAGACAACCAGCATAACAGCGATGCTGCCTTCCCAAAAGGAAGGCAGGTAGCTTAAACGAAACAGAAAGACATTTAGGTGGGTATTTTAGTATTCCGGCACAGCGAACAGATAATGGTGATCGTCTCCTGCAACTTTGCTCAGACAATCGTTTATTTTTAGCAAACACAAATTTTAAGCATAAGGAGAGACATCGTCTAACATGGCGACCCCCTGCACCAAACCAACGATGGACTCAAATAGACCATATTGCCATCAGTCATCGTTGGAGAGGGTCGATAGCAGATTGTCGCTCATTCTGGAGTACCTGCTTGGACTCCGACCATACCCTAATACGAGCACGCATCTGCTTGCACCTCACTGGACGCAAAAGAGCCACACAAAAAAGACTCATTAGAACCGAATTGAGTAATGAGAAACCAAAAGTAGGTCCCAGGAACAACTGAGGTCACACTTAGGTAGTTCTGAAAACGAGGCTGACCCCGATGTTGCTTGGAAAGTTATACAAGCAGCTGTGGAAACAGCAGTGACATCTACTAGTGATTTAAACCACAGGGTTACAAAGAACCAATGGATTTCGGCAAGGTCTATTGCACTGATAGATTCTCGTAAACTCATCCCATCAGGTTCTGAACACGATGAAGAGCGTAAAGAAATCAGATCTAGATTAAGCAAAAGTCTAAGGAACGATCGTGAGCAGTGGTGGGCAACGAAAGCAAAAGAGATGGAAAAGGCGGCGGCTATAGGGAACACAAGACAACTCTACAGACTAATAAAAGAAACTGGAATTAATAAATCAAGTGTAAGTCAGACTATTTCGGAAAAAGACGACACTATCATCTGCTCTCAGTCCAGACGCTTAGAACGATGGGCGGAACATTTTAAGGAGCAGTTCAGTTGGCCTTCAGCTACTCTACAACTACCCTCTATTCCCAGACAGTATGAATGGAACATTAAAGTAGGTCCCCCAACTCTAGCTGAAGTTCAAAAGGCTATAGCTAATCTGAAAAGAGGAAGGGCAGCTGGTCCAGACGGATTGGCCCCAGAGGTCTTTAAGGATGGTGGTCTAGTTTTAGCGACCAGGTTGACTAATATTTTAGCTAAAATCTGCGAGTTAGACGTTATTCCATCTAACTGGTCACAATCACTTATCGTCCCAATATTTAAGAAAGGGTCAAAATCATCCTGTGACAACCATAGAGGGATTAGTTTAACTAATATAATATCTAAAATACTAGTCTCAATAATTATCGGACTCGTGAACTGCAAACATGAGAAAACTTGGCTGGCTTCAGACCTGGATGTGACTGCATTGACCACATATTCACTATTCGTCAGGTTCTAGAACACAGGCATACTTATCGGCGTCCGACAATGGTGGTATTCCTTGACTTAAAAGCAGCGTTTGACTCTGTTGACCGAGAGGTTCTGTGGCACACACTCACTTCAATGATCAGTATTGATCAAGAAAATTAAACTAGTTCACAAGGATGTAGATTAGATTATTATATAAGCTTGAATATCTTAACTACCTTTTATATAGATAACCTGTTGAACTTGATGAACGTGATGATGATGATGATGATAATACTAGTCAACCTCTTTGTAATTTAATGTATGATGTTGTTAGGTGGAAATAGTCAAAACCACATTTAGAAAATCGCCTCTTTCTATCTAAAAAAAACGGTTTCCTAATCTATTCGTCCAAATAGCCTATTCAGTTTTGATTCAAATATTTCTCTTAGAAGCTTTTCTAACTTCACAGTCGTTCGTATTATTAGAAATACCACGGGTGCTTTGTAATATGAGATAATCTTAGAAGTAAGAAGTTGTAGCTGGTGAAGTTTAACAATGTCGAGTATGAGGCAGTTTCCCATGTCAAACAATAGAAAATGATAATATAATGTCGTAGATGGATTGAATGTCAGCTCAGTTATCCAAAAGTCAAGAGTTCTCATGTGAGACCAAAGGTTTTGAGTTCAATTCCTAGTTAGGTGTCGCGAAAACGCACTACTAAAGGGTCCCATACTAAAATGAACTGGTTGTCCAATGTTTCCAGTGTTTTTTAATGGTAGTTTAACGGAAATCAGGTCATGATTACAAGGTAAATCTAGCCTCAGGACTGGATTAGTAAGAAATTATTCATTTGTGTGAAATACAGTCAAAGATCCTGTATTTTACATTTCCAATAGTACAAATAACAATAAACCAAAGTCATACGATGACTTCACTCTTTATTTATTTATTTGTTCTAACACATAGATATTGCTACAAGGAAGTACCAAATACGTAAGCGCCACACAGATTTCATTTAATATGTGTGAAGACTGTGAAACGTACTGGGTGCCCAAACTGAAACAGGTGGTTTTCTTAGGGGGCCACACTCCGAGCCTTCGACCTAAAGGTCTGACCCACAAGGCAGTGGAGCATCATGAGGAGATGCAGTCCTACGGTAGCCGGTCACAAGCGATTCGTTCATACGCCATTTGTTCCCGCAGGATACTGGAGCCCATATGCACCATTGATTTGGAATGAGGGTTTTCCAACTCCCTTAGGTAGACTCTCGATGTCAACAAACCCGGTTAAAGCGCCGGACATTCACTGCACTCTTAGCACATGAAAAAACAGATGACTATCAAAATTTTCGACTGTGTTGAGTCATAATATTTTAACTGAGACGTATTAGAAATTTTACGTTTTTATTATTAGTGTCCGTTGCCATGTGTTGATTTCGAGAAGATTCCGTTAATATAGTGTTATGTAACAACCGTTCATACATTTAAAATGTAGCTGACAACATTTAGTTGTATGTACTAACAAATTTGTTAAACGATTTAGTGCTTAGTTAAACTCACTACTTAAATAGTTTACGAGATACTATTTCAGCTACAGTGTACTTCCTATCAATAACAGTGTGAATATCAACGCTCGACTATCCAGCTGAGTCCGAAATGGAAAATGGAACTCGTCCCGGGTTCCAGTGCTAGCGACATACCAAATATAAGACATTTAATACAGATGCACTGTTGCTATTTTCATTCATAAGTATATTTCAAAGCCAGTTTAGTTTTTATATGAAAGCGATGATCCACTACAAGATGATCTCAGGTTCTGTCATAGGTATGAGGGCAGTTGTTATTTCCCGGCTCTTCACACCGTGGAAGTGCGTCTATCTCCCTTAAAATGCTAAATATTGACTCAGGATTGACGTGCATCATTATGATATGGAGTGAAGTTAAACGCATCGATCGCTTTACTTATCTTGAGAGTCTAATCAGTCCTGATGGTCTTGTGTCTGACAAAATCTCTGCACGAATTCAGAAGGCTCTATTGGTTATGGAAGATATCTGTCTCTCAACCAAAGGATGAGTTCGCTGCTCAGCAGTTTGCTCTATTCCACTTCATAGATATGAAACATATCCATCAGGAGTGGAAAATATTTGTAGGTCACTAATATTTGATCGTAGATGTCTTCGAAGCCTTGCTCGTGAATATCGGGATCACCGAGTAAGCAATGTCTTGGTTAGCAATGGGGCACTAGGTTAGGATAGCTAAGCGATTGATGTGGTGGTTGGGACAGGCAATGTGATCTGGTGTTGGGAGTAGGCTGAAAATAAGCTAGGGGCAAATAAACCAAAACATAATATCAGTTCACAAAGTCATTGAGTATTGGACTAAGCTAATTTGATAGGTGTAGATTAGCACCTGGTTGAGATACGCGCGATTATCATAACATTTCACATGAAATGGCTCAAAATCGTTCGGAATGGCGATGGTGCATCCACTTTTTGTCTTTCCGTAAATTCCTCAACGTTTACTTTATTCTCGAATCGTATTTTCAAGGCTGAATCTTCTCTATTATCATTGATACTGTTACTAACCGCGGTATTCAGGGATGGTAACTTAAACAATAGCTCATTTTATTTATTATCATAAAGTGTAACCATTTGAATCCATTCAATTGATTTATCAGTTATCCCAACCAAACAGAATATGAAAGTCTTTAAAATGATTGCTTATAATATGATATGCAATTCATTCACCTATATAAGTAAGTAACGGTGTTTTAAAATAGTTGCCAACAAAAGAAATTGACTATCTCAATTAATTTTATACTTTACATCACAGATTGATCTAAGTTAGAAAACCACTCAGTGTAACCTGTAAAGCACTTAACAGTTGTTTCGTCCTAATATGAGACTCTTTTAACAGTATGGTAGATCTAACCTGAAACTTTTAGATCTCGTTATCTAGAGATTGAACGCTCTCTACACAACCTGCAAATCATTAGTCCCATCCTTTATTATAGTGTTGAGGAGTCTCTTCCTTAAAAGAAACAACCATTCAATACTACCTGATTATTACTGGTTGTATAACTAATTTTCTTTTCCTTTTTTGTTTTTCAGAATCCCCAAGAAATGGAAACTCTGTCAATCTAAGACCATATCAACCATGTATTGTATTGTTCATTGTAACTTTGTTATTGAATTATTTTATATCAGATCTATTCTCATATCATCAAAATTGTTAATATATATATATATATATATATACATATACCATCTTTAATTGTTCCAATTAGACTTATTCTACAACGACTGATATTCTGATGAATTTTGTTCCCAACCATCCAACCCCTCAGCCTTCCCCCCCCCGAAAGACCCTGTTCATCCGTTTTCTTTTTGTTGTTCATTTGATCTGCTTGTTTTTTTTAATCCATAGAAATAAAAAAAAGAACGGGAAAGAGAAAGATAGAAAAAAGAAAACTTTTTAGAAAAAATTTTTTTTTCACTTTAGAAATATTCTCATTAATTCAGGTACATATATTGTGTAGCATTTAAATTATTGTTATGATTAATGTTCATTTTATCATGTATGAATGAATTAGTTACATGCTATGCAAATACATACACACACACACACCATCATCATCATCATCATGATCATCTATCCATCTATACACAGATAAACATTGAATTACGTTAATACATTTCAATGGTTATCTTTGTTTGTATGGATTCTCTTTTTATCAATGTTCAAATCATCATCATCATCATCATCATCTTTATGCTCAATGTTTATTGAAATGTATATCTACTGCTTTAAATGATCATTTTATTGGTTTTTATGAGTTCCCCAACCCATTCTTTCCCCCTTTTTTGTTCATTCTTGAAATATCTATCATATTGTCAGTCTTCGCTTGTCACATTCTGAGATATTTATGAAGTATTTGGTAACCTGTTTGTTGCTATAACCACCACCATCATTATCATTATCACCATCTCCACCACCTATACTATTATGTGTAGATTTTTTCAGGTTCAATTATCATTATACTGCTGATAGTGTTTAGTAATGATCTTCAAAATAGTTGTTGATATTGATAAGTATATCTATCCATTTGTAATCAACTCATTTAGCCTATATACAATCATTCATTATATCTTATATGGTTATATGTATTACCATATATCTTATACGAATCAATCTGTACATTATATATTATAGTTATATGTACTATTTCTGTGAATGAATTATCATCAGTTGACATGTTCAGTTATACTTAATAGTATTGTTCCAATGAAACAGAACTATTCTGGTTGCTACCTCATTTCTTTTCTTTTCTCTTCTCTTCTCTTCTCTTCTCTTTAGTAAAAGTTTTAAAAGTGGTTTACATAATTGTTCTTTTTTTTTAAAATTTAATTTATATAAACAAGATGTGTGTGTGTGTGTGAGTGTTTGGGTTCGTTGTGTTTTTTTTTTAGTCCAAGATTTTATTTGTTCAATAAAACAAAATAAATATATTTATGTAAAATTACTTATATCCTATTGGGAAAGTTATGATCTTCAGTGAGTCAGTTCGTCAATGAGCTACAACGTAGGATCAGGCACATATATGCAACGGCCCAACTTGCCATATCTCATTAGTACAACAACATGAACACCGAATATAATATAGGAAGAAAGAATTCGTTGGTAGAAAGAAAGATATAAAGCAATTTTAATCTCATAGTTTAAAGAAAGACAATGAGTGTATACATCTGAGCCATTGTGATTGATTCTCAGCCATATCACCAAGAGTATCCAACCATTGATTAGCATAGACACGCGGATCCCAATCAACTAATCTGCATCTATCAATATAGCTATGACTATTAGTTAGTGACTTCAAGCACCTTTCTTCTAATCATCTCCTACACCCGTCAGCATTGAGCGTCTTGTTAATCGGTGTTCAGGCATATGTAACACATAACCCAACCATCTCAGCCGATGGAGATTCACAACTTCATCAACTGATTTACCATCATCATTCCCTAATACTCTGAGTCTTACCTCACTATTACTTACCCGGTGACGCCAGCAAATGCGAGTAATATTTCTAAAGCATTTGTGACCAATTATTATTGATCTTCACAAATACCCTTTAACTGATGTGCTTACTATCAGTGAATTTCGATATGTAATTCTAAGAGTTCTAAGCATAGGTTGTGAGATAGTCACCTATATCAGACAATGGAAAATAATCACACAATATCGTGAAATGATTGAAGTTGGATAGATACACCTTTGGATTCATGATCAATAGTCAAAAGGTTAGATTTCAGTAACTGAGATCAAAAGACATGGGTTAGACTCCTTATCGTGAGGTACTGGTTGTGTATTGTTAAAGTGTCTCATAGTACAACGGCACAGTCATCCAGTTCTTCCGGACTTTGAAAAGTGATCTATCTAGCTAAGAATAATTCGTGATTTAAGCTATAAAGCGAAATTTATTGAAAAACAGTAACTATTATAAGCTTTAGATATCCATAAATTTTAATACCATTGTTGTATAAACAAGAGGGTTTCCTGTCGACTACCTACAACCACCATCTAGTCTCACAATAGTGCCCGCAGTTTCGAGTCACTTAGACTGGTGACCACATTGCATCGTATACAAATATGGAAGGTTTTTTGTTAAAGTACTAGTTCTGTGAGGAAATATGAACAAAGAATAACCAAGATGATGTAATAGAAAGATTATACTACTAGATTATGTTATGCAAATAATAACGAATTATAATGTCAGCAGTTGAGATCATGAGTCAGTTGAAGCTAAACCACCATGGCAAATCTGGAAGCACTGGACGGCCGTTTCGTCCTATTGTGGCACTCCTCAGCAGTGCGCATCCACAACTCCGCCCCCTGCAGGATTCGAACACAGGACCTACTGGGTTCGCGCGCGAGCATTTAACCATTAGACCACTGAACCGGCATCCAACCACGTCATGGTACGAACATTCCAGCCAATATAGCTAAACTAACTTATGACGATATCAAAGGTTGACCGTCAAATCAAAATGGCTGATACACCAAGGTCATACCGAATGTATGTTAAGCAACGAAATATATGTATACATATATGGCTAGTTTATTCCGATGAATTATTCATAGATGTTTCCTTTGTTCCCTTTCTGAACATCATTGAATGACTCAGAATCATGACCTTGTTATAGGAGAATTAAATAATGTACAAGTCAGTAATTTTCTTAAAAAAGCAGAATTATGATAAATTTGACTTGGTTATATAGTTTCATTTTTGAAAAATATTCAAGTTTTCATAATGGAGTTACTATGTGCCTGTTGCCTCGTTGTATTATAAAATGTGTAGTATTAAGCACTTAGTGAGGAGAGAGGCGGGGGCAGGGGCGTGGAACACTTTTCCATTCATTTCAATGGGTCAATGTTGTATATAAGTGCATAATATTTACTGAGGATTTCAATTTGAGCTCTTGACTTTATTGGATGTATTTGGTGCTGTAATACTAGTTGAATAACATACAGATATGGATAACTACAAATGGTTTCAATGAAATTTCCAGTAAATATCATACTCAGATACGTAACCCCCCTTCGAAACAAACGGAAAACTGCTGGTAGGTGACCAGTTATTGATTAATAAAAAGTTACTGGATAATCTCACGAATTTCCTTGACCATTAGAAACTGATGAATACGTTGATGTATACTAGATTGAATGTGACAAGGACTGAAATCCAGAAAACTCATTTGGTTCTATTTGATAATCCAATTGAGTATTCATCTGAACTCAATAACTAAGTGGATAACACGATGTTGTTTGCAGCAAAATATACTGGGTTTGAGTGCCAGAGTGAGTATCAACTCTGGGATCCAGGTAGATCCAATTGACTAGTTCCGAATAGAACGAAATGCGTTTCTTCGATTCCACTCCTAGCCATAATCTATCTAGTCTATATTAACTTGTGTCATATTGGCTATGTCGAGGTATTCCTCACAGAATACCCATATGTTGACCAAAACTGATCAAAATATCAACAACGGGATAATCCAAATCATTTCTAAATGAAAAATAAGTTGCTCTTTTTTAGTATAAACGAAATCTAGTATCGTTATTTTCTTTAAAAACTCGGGATAATTTAGACTTGTCTCCTTATAAATCGGCGACGTTTACGATAATACACTTGTCGCACGTTAATTTTCGTTTCCCCGTACATCCTGGAAGTCAGGCTTTTCAGTTACTTCATCGTTTCATATCTTTATCTTCACATTGTGCCACTGTACAGGCTAATTATTTGACAGACTTTCAGTTTCTTCGTCTCATGCTTCACTAAAATTTAGTGTAGTGTATTTCTTATATATTCAATGAATTCCCCCCTTCATGTTATTGCCTTGACTTTATTGATTTAAAAGTCATCAGTCGAATTCTGTTCACTGAAACTATACGATAGATTTCACCTGCTTCGATTTGTGTTTTTCTTTACAATACTTAATCAATATTGATCAAATAAGAACAAACAAAACTATTCGTTTGTTGATTCCGTTGATATTATTTATTTGAATCTTCTAATTAATGCCGGCACATCTAGCTGACGAGTCCCCCATTACACAAGCAGGTGGTTATCAGGACTCAATAGCTAAGTGGATAACGTGATGGCGTTTGAAACGAGTGGTACTGGGTTCGAGTCCCAGAGTAAACATCAACTCTAGGATGCAAGTACATCCAGCTGACGATTCCGAAATAGGGCAAAACACGCATCCTGGATTCCACTGCTAACGACTATCTAACTTTGCTTATAATGTTGGTTTATTGATTTAATCTTCAACAAAGTTAGAGACCTAGTACTGATGATCATCAGAATTCTCGCTAATTGATTCATTGTCAGTTAATTATTCTTTTCAGTAGATATCAATGTTTGAAACGAAACAAATCAATATACACTTTCATTGGGTGATATCTGAATCATCCCGCCCGCAAAACGGGATTCGAACCTTAGTATGTCATTTTATTTTTCTTTTCAATTTTAATGGAAAGTTTTGATACTGTACACCTTCATCATACATGAAATCAATTGTTTATTATATGTGTTCATCAAATGGTAAAATACTAATTGTATATGATGTCAACCAACAAACATACACATACACACACTCCCACATTATCAGTCATGTAGACTGATTATACTTTCTTTTATTTGTTTAGAAAACCACCAAGAAGTGATGATTCATTGAATGCTCAATTGTTATTCTTAGGAGTAAGAGTTTGTAATATCTTGTTGTTGATATTCAAGACTGTGATTGTTCAGTTTCTGTTGCCAAGTATGTAACTTGAGAGGAAAGTACAAACAATTACTAATAATTACATTGATTAGTAACTACCTGAACTCAGTAGTCAATTGAATAACTTGTTGATATTTGAGAAGAATGATACTAGATGTGAAACATAGCATGAATAACAACATTGGGATAAAGATGCATCTCAGCTGAATGATTCCTAAATAGGATAAAACACATATTATGAATTACACTGATTGACACATACTAAATATAATGGTTGAATTCATGAGTCAGTTAAAGCTGGATCACCATAGAAAACCTGGAAACACTGGACAGCTGTTTCGTTTTAGTATGGGACTCATCAGCAGTTCG